ACAATGGATAAATCTAAGTAAAAGAAGGGGTATATATTTTTTTAAATGAAACGAAATATAAACGATTTATGTGGGAAATTATATGAATTTTGATAATTAGTATTTGTCTATTGAGCTTAATGAACACATAATCAGTGTACGGCACTTTAACAGTAACAATATTAAACCTAATTAATATAATTATCTATTTTTGAATTGTTAATATTTTTGAAATGTCTTAACAATTACTTATGTAATTTTAATAGTTGAGATCATGAGACAACTGAAGCTAGACCATCATGGAAGACCTGGAAGCATTGAACAGCCGTTTCGTCCTATTGTGGAACCCCTCAGCGATGCGTATCCACGGTCCTTCATATCAGAATCGAACCCAAGAACAACGGTCTCACACGCGAACCCTTGACGTCTAGACTATTGACCCGGCATCCAACGGTGTTAATGTCTAACTTCAACGAATCCACGAAATTGAGCAAGATAGTAACTCACTGAATACAGTGGTGGATGTGTCGATCGATTTGTAGATTAGTTGAAGTTAGACAATAAAACCGTTAGATGCCAGCTCAGTAGTCTAGAGGTTAGGCGTTCGCGCGGGAGATCCTGTGTTCGAATTCCACGGGAATGGATAGTGGATGCGCACTGCAGAGGATTCCCAAAACAGGACGAAACAGCCGTCCAGTGCTTTCAGGTTTTCCATGGCGGTCTAGCTTCAATTGTCTCATAATCTTAACTGTTAAAATTATTATAATATCCACAAAACCCATTCTGATACTAATTACTTATGTAATTAGTAGTAAACCAATTAAGAAAAATAAAATACGTTCTAAATTGGTATACATTTTCCATTATCTTAATTAAAATTGTTTCATAATAGATGTAAAGGTTAGAAAAGCATTTAACGATTGGTGATTGTACAAACCAATTACGGAACATATTAGTATCAATTTATTTTTTTTCGTCAGCATATGAAATTCATTTCTAAACCAGAGGGGATTTTCTAAAAATTTTATTCATAAACAAGATTGTTGTGACCAATAAAACGTAACATACATTAACAACACGATTTGATTACATAACTATTAATGTGTCACTGTTGATTATATTCAATGTGGATGTTATTCACTAATGATAAACACAATTAGAAAACTATGATTCGGCTGAAAAATAGAATCGGCACCTAGAAACCTTTATAGTGCTCATTCTTTTGATATGTTGAGAACGTGTAAAATAATGTTGAATTCATTTTCTGACCTTCATTTTATTTTGAATAATAATTCATTATCTAATCAAATAATCAGTCATGGTTTTTGTTATCTATCTTACTAATAACATTTTTAGTTCTCTACAATTATAATTTGATCAGTTAGTTGGCTAGTGGTTCGTTAGAATTGGGAAATGCATTAAGAGACAGGATTATATCAGTTTAGCTACCTCAGTTAAAACACTATTGTATTGGACAAATGTACCGGTACAATAAGTAGATAAGAAAGTAAGACAATCCGAATAGTTCCTTGTGTTATATACCTCAGTGTTGATTAAATTCTACTCAATGTAACTTCAATTTAACCACAAAATGCAGTGGTGTGTTCTTCTGACAATCCTCGTTTGGTGCTTCACAGTTAAACAAACTCAACAAGGGGTACAGTCTGATTTATGTTTCGTCTTGGTGTAAATCATCAATATCCTTGAGGATACTGACGTTCTTCTGATTACTCATTTCACAATTTATAATAATTTATTACAATCCAAACAATGATAAGAGTTTGTTAATATCACATCATTTATGATCCATTGACTGCTTTTATGACTAATCGAGTTTTTCATTGGTAAATAAACTAACATCTGCCAGTTATTTCGTTTAACATCTGATTCCTCGCTGAATCACATAACCTAATGATTACATTCTAAAAGAATTCAACAGCAAAATCATGACGAAGTTGCTTAAGATGGATGACAATTCACTTAGAGAAAAATGTGAAATATAATAATACTAAAAATAAACAGTCACGAGTCAAATTTGTCCTTATTATCAAATAATGTCAACTGGAGGAACACTTATAATCAGGAATCGGCATATAGTTGCCTGATTCTGGTTTAGGATTAATAAGCAGTGAGTCAAACAATCAAAAATAAATATCAGTAGTATATATTAAATTATCTCAAGTGATCCTCACATGAATTCACATGTCATGATAGTTGGAATACATCTCGAAATTTATGGTCTTGATGGTGATGACAAAGGAGATATAGTGTTCTATCAGTGAACAATTTCCATTATTTCATAATGTAGACAGTGTAATAATGATGGAAATTGGAGTTCAACATAGAAAGTGCAGTTTGAGTTCTAGGATTCAGACAAGGTAAATGAAAATTGAAAAATCAAGAGTGAATAGCATTAGCATGTTTTTTGCAAGATCATTGGTGTAGTTTTGTTATAGCTATGTATAGAGCGATATGTTTACCTAAACATTGAGTCCGTTTTTAGTAACGGTCATCTAGATAGGAAAATGTGATCTGACCCGCATTTAGAATATTAACACATTTTGTTGAGGTTGATCGCTACGTAAAAAAGTCAAATATTTTTTCAACTAATTCATTTTATGCCAACTTGTGTGCATTTTTTCCGTCCAAGTCATGGTTGTTTGATCAGATCCTCAAGAGATTACGCAAAGCATTCACTTTTTTAACTAATTAGAACATTAGTCGCTAATTCCATTCGATTGAATGTTGTGATTTAAAATTAAATCTCATCATTCTACTATTCGTTTCAAATTAGTTACTTGGATTATTTCTCATTACATATCTATTGATTTAGGTGGATAACTGAATCAGTTGTTGAGAAATTTCAGTTTAGAACATTGAATACACGCACTTTGGTTTAGGTATTTATGTACATCACTGCCCATCGTATAATGGTGTATAAATCTAGGTTGAATATGTTGTAGTGTTAGTCATAAGTTTTAGCCCATAATATATCTTATCCTAGTTTTCGGACATTCCATTCTATTCATTCTACTTGAGTCATATTTTGACCTTGTCAATTATTCGCTTATTAGCCTTGACTGTTTTTATATGAGCGTATATGTGTGTACACTTCATGTCCCATGACTCATCACATGTCTGTAGTTTATTTTATCTGCCTATAAATATTGAGTAATGCCTGGATTGAAATGGAGTTGGATTCCCAGCCATTTTCCCTGCGCGTCATTTTGCTCTGTTCTGTTACATTCACTTTACATACAAAATATATGTATTCAAAGGCCATTCTCGTTAATTGACTTATCTAAATTCCGTTATTGACTAACGTGATTTAAGTCGACGATGATATACGAGAAAAGGAGATAGCAAACATTCATACTATCTAATTGGAGTCAGATCCAAGGGCTACAATGTCTGTAGTTTGGTGATTGTGTTACATTAAATTAAATTTAGACATGGAGTAGAAAGACCTATTGAATGCAAAGAGATAGAAACAGCGACTGGCCCAGCTGAAAGTTGCTCCAATCTTACGAGATATCAAACGAAGAAACACACGTTGGTGAGAGTATGAAATCGTTTGACCGAACAGCTTACTTTAGGGATAATGTCAGCTCGTCCAAAAGTCTAGATAACCGACCATAATCTTGTGGGCTGTACGATCAAAAATATTAAGTTAAAGAAAACAATCACGCCCACTGTTATGAGGAAGTCAGTTCAAAACATTTTACTGAAATTTCCGATGAGAAGCGTAGTTGGTGTTCGAAAAGTTATAACCGATTGGACAAGATATGTTTGAACACTGTCATAAAGATCACCGAGCTACGTCGGAGTTTAGTAACATGGGTACCAGTAGCTGATAAAATTTTGGTTATTATTATGACGAATAGGTTGTGGTAAAATCGTGTACAACCATAAAGTAAAGGGTAGGTGGGAACTCGTATTTTCACCCTCCATCATGTGTTGCATGAGTGAGTTTTTGGGTCCACTGACCGCGATAAATACTGTTAACAAGAGATGTATTAAAAAAGTGAATAAACCTTATCAAGGCTCTCTCTACTCGAGCACTACTGGTTGAGAGCTTATGAAGAAGTGCTATCACAACTGATAACGATAAGTAGCATCTGTCAAAGTTGCCCGCTTTACTTAATTTTATCTAAGAATCTTTTGGAGATAATGCTCTAATCATCTGACTTTTCAGGCACTGATCTCCTGAGATGATTTTTACATATCGACTTAGAGTGCGCAGATGGTATGGTTCTGCTTGGCGAAGACGCTAGAAAAAGTCTGATAGATTTGAGCAAAAATCTCAACACGTTAGAGACGCTATTTCCTCTCCTTTTCTCGAATTAAGAAATGTTTCTTCAGAAAGTATCTGCAGTTTCACTTGTTCTTTGTTGTTGTGAAGTAACCTTCGAAAATAGAGGACATATGTATAGGTTACTAGTATTTGGTCATAGATCAACGTATATGTGTGGACTATCGACTGGTTAATGGCGAGAATAGATACAGGATACTAAGTAAAGATGATAACTGGTTGGTGAGACAGTGAATCTGCATTAACTGACGTAGTTGGAACATATGCTCAACCACTACCTATCCCAGTTAATGACGTTTTTTGGCGTAGGAATAAGTTCGAACAATCAAATCAAAACTTGGTATCAGTTCATGAAATAACTATCTGATGGATGGAGCCGTGGTAGTAGGTGGAAACTATCCTGTTAGATAATCACAACAAATAGTTGAAAAAGATGGATAATATAACTAAAAATCGGCCGTAACGCAAAGATCCACTCACTCTATGTCCTCCTTTAGATCTTGAGATTATCTTATACTTTTCCATTATACGAATTGATTCTTTCTTCTCGGAATATATTCTCTATGTTTAAACACTACTAGTACCACTGATACTATTACATATAATAGCATGATTGTTGAATAATACAGTGAGAAATTATAGCACTAACATTATTCAAAAGAAACTTACATAGCTTCAGATTCTTTCAACTGATCTCAATTATACAGGTATAATTAATCATTACTACAATGATAATAATAACAACAATATCGATGATAATCTCTATGATAATAATAGAAAAAAAAAGACATTCTCGGTTATTTATTTCAAGTCGTCTTTTTTTTTCATAGAAATATATATTTTTTGTAGTTGAGGAAAAGAGAGAGTATTCCCTAGATTGACAACTATTTTGTGAAAAGGAAAACAAAAAAATGTAAGTAAGATAAAGACAAAACAACAAATATCTTAACGTTTTGAATATAACTAATAAAAGATGGATTGAAAAACAAAATGAGAAAGAACCAAATATGATGAATTAAACTACTTAATCATATGCATAGAGCAAAATATCTATTTGAGAAAACTCAGATAGATAAATTCACAATAAAAAAAGAATAAATCATAAAACAACAAAAGAAAACAAAGAAGAATTAAATAAAATCATTTCCAGCATTGATAGAACGAAAAAAAAGGAAGATTCGATTGAAAATTACGATAGCGAAATACACTCTGGATTAATTAAGATCGAAAAATCACACTCTATGCATAAAATCAATATTTCCTCAAGTTAGAAATTCAAATACAGGAAAAAATAGGGAGAGTGAAATGAAAAACGACAAATAGATTATTCATGGGTAGGGAGAAAAATAAGAAAGGGAACAGAATAAAAATACATGATTACACGAACGAGGATGGGGCGCTTTACGAAATGAAACAAATGTTTATATCACACATCAAGTAAAAAGACGAATAGATTCATATCATAGTAAATTGTCTTTTATGTTCATAATATCAGTGATTAGAGAGGAAGAAAATGCTATTTTACGATTAACACATAATGAGTTTGTTACGTAACTGTTTATCTTTAAAACAAATATTAGTCATTAGATTTAACCACGAATATCTCCACAGAGAAAAAACAAAAAGCAACATAGGACTAAAAATATCTGAATACGGTGAGTTTTCTCTAATTTTCGGATTAAAAAGAAAATTAAAATAAGATAGATTCCAATCCATCCATCACACGCTTTCCATATGTAGTTAAGACTGATATAACAAGGTGTAACCTGGAGAAACGATGGGAGATGGACAATATAGTAAAGCAAATTAATCGTTTGAAAGTATGAATTGTGAATGGATTTCGCATAAAGTATACAAGTCCCATTAAAAACAAAATTCATATCAACGACAGATCAAAGACAACTCTCCATATACGCTGAATAGGTCAGTGTACACACTATGAATAAATAAAGTTTACATTTGTGACATGAGAAAAGTTGCTAAAGAAGTGAATAAGAGAGAAAAAATATCGGATACTAAACAAAAACAACTCAAAACAATATTATGTAAAGAAAGACCGGGTGAAAGTGTGAAGAATAATACATACGGACATATGCATATTTATATACATATGTATTGTCATCTTGTTACGTAATATATATATATATATATATATATATATATATATATATATATATATATATATATATATTACTGAAGAAAGCAAATCGTTTGAAAATAATAAGATGAATGTCTTTTCCACTGTAACATTTTATTCTTTGTCGGATTTTTAGATAGAAGAAAATTAAACAGATCCACAAATGATTATGCCATTAATCGGCAAACTGAAGGTCTTTAATTTGCTACAATAAATAAGAAAGAAAACAACCCTGAATTATAAATGTTTAAAGTTTTCATAATAAAGTTGGATTTTATAATCTTAATAATAATGACAATAATAAGTAGTAGCAATGATATTAATAGTAGAAGTTTGTATATAATAGGTTGGGTGGTTGAAAGTAGTCGATACGAAACCCTAAATCAAGGTTTCGTGTTATTTGGTGTACCTGTAATCTTTAGCGAACTGGTGCTTCCTGTGGATTCTTATTCCATATTTAACCCCACTTCAGTCTGAGGTGTTCTCACTGAACTAGTTGAGCGACGACTTGCCTAATGTAGAACTGAGATATTTGCAATCAATTGATTACTGTGTAATGACCTCTTTAGACGAACATGAAATTATACACTATTCAGTGATCAATCAATACTAGGTCAGAGTCCTATTGAATTAATGTGATGAAAGTGAGCAAAGAAATTACGAGTATGAGAGTACGGCATATCTAATGATTTTTTTCTTATATCTGAACTGAGTAACACTTTGCGGCCATTTGAGCTTTATTATTCGATCATCAACACCCAGTAATCATTAAACGAATTCATTTTGTGGTAAAAAACTACATATTTACCGTGGATTTACAAATTTTTCTTATCATTTGGAATTTAAATTTTAAAAAACCTTTTGATGAAAAACTAAAGAGTCATTATATTAACTAATCTGAAATCTTACAGAGCAAATTAATGTAATACTATATCTACAAAATGAACAAACTAAAATAAAGAAATTATATATTGTACTATAATAAATGTTTTACAGTCCAATTTCGATATCAAACACATGTTGAATGTCATAATCTACATAGATACGTAAATGTAAAATCAACTAATTAATTTCTTACAAGTACTTTTCCATCAAAAGACGATAATAGTAAACCACTCAAAAAGGAGCCTAAATAATATTAATAACTAACCATAACTATTGGAACATATCAAATCAGTAATTTAGAGTACTTCAATTTAAGTTTTTACACCATCTGTAGCATTTATAGAGTTATTGACGGTCTCAAGCCCACACAAAGGAGAGGGGTTGGGCATGAGGTCGGTAATCCCATCCGTAGAAAACAATCTTGGTAAAAAAACGCTAACCAGAATATACAATTCAAACCATTTAAACCCTGTTCACGGAGATGAAGGAAGAATTATAACGCCTCATAATGAAAACCAAGATTCTTTGGAAGTCACTAGGTCGATATCCCTTCTAACAACCAGAGCAGTAATTTTTATAGTTACATGAAACATCCGCATCATGTAGGAGACCCGCAATATCAGTCAAATACCTACGAAAATAAGGAGATACAAATTGGAAGTACTCACAATTTGTAAAACCCATTGGACTCAAACTGGACATCAAAGGTTAATTAGGTACGGGAGGGATGCCTCTCTATTCCGGTCACGAACAGGAAAATGCTCCACACACTCAGGCAATCGCTCTGATGCTGTTCAAACAAGCACGAAATACACTTGTAGGATGGGAATCTCACGGATCCAGAATAATCAAATCATTATTCAGAACAAAGAAGGAGGGAATTACAATGAATGTTATCCAGTGTTATGCACCCACCAATGATAGCAACGACGACAATAAAGATTAGTTCTACGATAGGTTGTAATCGATCATAGCTAAGTGCCCAAAAAAGGACGTCACCGTTCTGATGAGAGATCTAAACACCAATTTTGGAATGGACAACAGCGGTTATGAAGATATCATGGGACGAAATTAACTGACTGAGAGAAAGGAACGAGAAGGGCGAGAGACTTACAAATCTATGTGCATTCAACAAATTGGTTATAGGTGTCACAATTTTCCTAGACAAAATCATACACAAAGCAATATGGGTCTCAGCGGACCACTACATGATGAACTAGATAGATCGTATTTGCATCAGTAAAAAATCAACAAGGTCAATGGAGGATGTGAGAATGAGGAGAGGAGCTGACATAGCTTCCGATCACTACATGCTGGTTACCAAGATTAAACTGAAGCTAAAGAAGCACTGGATAACTGAGGAAATAAGATTACAAATGTTCAATACAACCTTCCTTCGATATACTGACTAACTCAACTAATTCAAGATGACTCTCAACAACAGGTTCTAACGCTTACTACTAAGGAGAACAATTGGAAATAGATCAAAAAAGCATTAACTTCAAGGTGGCAAGGGGATCTGGGCCTCAAGAGTCATCGCCATAAGGAATGGATCTCTATGGAAAAACCTGACAACATAACTAGCCGAAGCATTAAAGTTAGACATAAAATCGTTTGCAAACGTGCTTCACGTTCTATTCAAAAAGATTTGGGAGGAAGAATAAGTGTCGAAAGACTGGAAAGCAGGATATCTCATCAAGATTCCAAAGACAGGAAAAATGAGCAAGAGTGAAAATTACACAGGCATCACACTACTGTCAGTACCAGGTAAGGTCTTCAACAATGTTGCTGAACCGGGTATAGGATTTAGTAGATGCCCCACTTCGAGATCAACAGATTGTATTCTGTAATGATTGGTCATGCACGGACCAGATTACCACATTACGGACCATCGTTGAACAATCAATTGAATGAAACTCGTCACTATACATCAATTTATTTGACTATCAGAAAGCATTTGACAGTGTGAGTGTGAGAACATTATGGAAATTTCATCGACTTTATGGAGTACCTGAGAAAATCACCATCATCCAAACTTCATGCGACGGACCACACAGCAGCGTCATGAACGGAGGACAGCAGACAGATGCTTTCCAAGTAAGAACCGGAGTCAAACAAAGCTGCTTACTGTCACCCTTTCTCTTCTTTCTGGTGGTAGACTGGATTATGAAAACCTCCGCATCTGACGGGAAGAACGGAATAAAATGGACAGGTTGAATACAACTAGACCATTTGGACTTCATAGACGAACTGACCATTCTATCCCATACACATCAACGAATACCGATCAAGACAGCCAGTGTAGCAGAAACCTCTGCATCAGTAGGCCTCAACATACACAAGGGAAAATTAACATCCTCAAATACAACACAGAGAACACCAACCCAGTCACATTTGATGCAGAAGCCCTCAAAGTGATGGAAAATTTCACGTATCTGAGATGCATTATTGACAAACAAGGAGGTGATGCAGACGTAAAGGCGAGGATTGGAAAAGTGAAGATAGCATTCCTACAGTTGAAGAACATCTGCTACTCGAAATAGCTGTCAGCCAATGTTAAAATGAGGATCTTCAATACGAACGTCGAGACAGGATTTCCAATCACTTCCAATATTTTTTAAAACCAAATTCTGAACATACACAAATCAATGGATTGTGTTAATTCATATTTTATTGTCTACTTTCAACAGAATACTAGTGATTGTTCAGTTAATTTATGGATGATAAACTTCCAGGAAATTTTATACACATAAATGTTTAATCAACACAAATAATATCATTTGAAATCCACAAGAAACTAATGTATTCTAGGTGGTGCATAAATAAACATCATCAATAAGTATTATGTAATAAATAAATAAAATAAAATAATTACCAATTTATAGAAAGAGTAATCTGTCAGTTTATGTATATGAATGAATGAACGGCATAGACTACTTCATCTCTGATTATTGTGAATTCCACCAGTGGTAACGTTACTTCCACCAGTTGTCATTGTACGATTAAATGATTGATTGAGTTCTGGTTTATTGTTTGAATCTTTGACTAAATTGCAATTAGTTTGACGAAATGCATTGGTAAAATCCATACCGTGCTGTGTACGTTGAACATTGTCAAGAAATTCGGATTTATTAGATACACTGTTATTATTATTATTACCATTATTATTCGTGTTAAATTTTTTGAGTACATGTGTAGTTACGGCACTGCCGCTACCACTCCCAGCAGCACTTGCCCCAGTTCCATTTTGGCGACTTGCAGAACTAGTACTGCTTGTGCCTAAAATAGAAAGTAATGAAACAAAAACGTGTTAAAAGCGTAGGAGTATCCAATTGGAGAATTAAACTGTTAAACATATTACACATAGAAAAAACATATATATGTATATATCATAAGTGGAACTATAGTTGCAATTAGTAAAGGAAAAAAACACAAATAGATGATGCCTTCTAGCATAAACTATGAGCTGTTAAAAGAAAAGTGCAGTAAATTACCATTAGTTTAATGTACCAAAAATTATTGTGTTTGATATGTGAAGAAATAACCAAGAAATATACTTGATTTATTGTAAGAACTAGACAATATTAATAATAATAGTAATGATAGTAAAAGTGATTATACAGTGAGTGTACATTATACTTGCCTTTTTTTGAGATTATTTATCTATAGTACAAAACAGACTAAATACACCCTAAAGTTAGTCAAATCATAGAACTGAATTAGTAGTAATAATTTATAATAATGTACTTATATATATGCACAATATCAAACCTGATTCATGTATTTTATCTTCCATGAATGATAAATGTTCAGTACTGAAATCATTATTAATGATACTGTCATGTTTTGCCAACAAAAATAGTTGATTATTATTATCACTGTCATTATGATCTATTTCTTTACTATTACTGTGACATTCACTAGTAGTGGTTATTGTTGTTGTTCGGTCATTATCAATAACATTATTCGTTATTTGTTGGTTTAATGATTTCACTGAGTATGAATTACGTCGATTACCATTTGTAGGAGTAGTCGATATGGTAGAATTAGTAATGGCAACTGATGATAGATTATCAACTATCTTATAATTATTATTATTGACATTCTCATCGGATAACAATATTAATGAGTATTTTGCGGAATCTAGTTCATGCAGATCAGAATGGCGATCATGCACAACATTTTTAGTTTGACATGGTTGTTGTTCTTCTTGTTGTTGCTTCTGTTGTGTATCTAATTTTTTACATGCATTGTTAATATTATTATCATTAGCATGCGATGATGAATTAAGAGTTTTTCGGATGAATGGCATACAAAAACATGGATGAGATGAAACTAAACACACACATATTTACATATAAATTGAAAGTCAGTGAATGGGTATATTGCATTTCCAACAAAATTTGATTGGGTAAGTTGATTTTGAGATAAAGGATTTCCAGGTTCAGTGTGTTCAATGTACACAACAGTTAACACATGATTATTCACAATAACAATTACGATTCAAGGTTTAAACAATGAATTAGTATTAGGATAAATATAATTTATCATCAGTATTATCGTTATTACATGACCAGAGTAACCGGGACTTAGAATTAGGGTATTGTACAACAATAATGATGTAAAAACATACATATATACACATATGTGCATATACAATACAAGTAATAATTATATTCATGATAAACATAATAATAATCCGAATCGAAGATAAATAGTAAAAGCAAGAATATCATGATACCCAAACAAATCAGGAGACAAGTAATTACAAAGAAATAAAATTTTAAAAAATCGTATTTGTAAACACAAGCAAGCGGTGCAAGCACACAAGCATACACGCATATGTGTATAACACCACATTTTGTACATTCATTTAGAAAGTAGTCCACATTTTGTTGTTGTTTTGCGGAGGTAAAACAAAAAAAGAAATGAAAGAACAAAAATTGAAAAATGCTAGTGAGTAAATCAATCAATGAATGGTAAAGATTCAATATGAATTACACAATTGTCATGGCTAATATTAAGGATAAAACAATGTTTAAGAGAGAGATAGAGAAGAAATATCTTAATTGTTCTTTCCGTAGATTGATTAATCCATGTATTGTGTGAAGATTTTATGTATTGAGTAATGGGTTACACATTATTTGTATGATTGCTAACGATACGCTCCACGTTAGCCAAACCGAAATAACTGAAACAGGGTTCAAACTTTTTGACCTACATGTTGAAAACCAAGTGCTAGAACCACTAATTTACCAGTCCACTGTAAATGAATTAAAGATTCTTTATGAAATTGTATCGTGTTACAAATTAATGCAGATACTCAATTCACATTATTTTCCAGTTCAGTGGAATTAATTAATGTGCTGCTGATCATTGATTTTAATCTTGAGATAATTTTCATAGAATTTTTTAAAAATTTTACTGAGATATAATGTGCACTTGTAACTTGCGATAGCAGTGAATCTTAATAGATTACATTGAAGACTAATCAATATTTTGATAGCACAAATTACTTGAAGGTAAAATTATTAACTGAACTAGAACGCAATCAAACATTAATAAAGCTAAAATTAAAGTTTTATAGATAGGGCTTGTAAATTCATACTAACAAGTTGTTTTGAATCAGAGAAAAGACTTCTGCAGGTTATTATTTAAGTATCAACTATCCTGAAGTTGATATCTAACCTGAATGTTTAATTATCTGTTTATTGTAACTTATTTAGCAAGTAGTACACAGTTATAGTGCTCGAATTTAAGCCATTTTATTTATCATAAGGAATACTAATACTATTGACTTGCTGAAACCAAAGAAGATAGAAAACGGATGTGTTCATCAGACCTGTGACTCAATAATTGACGGTCAACTAATTGATTTTACTACCTATTAGGTAACCACTACACTTATACTATCAATTTAGAGGTAAAAAATTACTTGACTTAAAAAAAGTATAGATAGAGATGACAAGTTTATTTAATTAGTGAAAAATAATTCATTTCATGTGGTCACCTTTTAGGTCAATCACTTTATATGTAAAAGAAAAATCAAACCAGTATCCCATTAAAATAGTCTAACTTGTTATATTAAATTGAATTTTGCAAATTAATTATTGCAAGGCTAAAACAAATTAATAACTATTGTTAGCGGTACAACAATAAAAGTTACGAGAAAGAAAGGAGATCAAATCTGTAGGGTATTTTCTTTTATAGTCAAGCTTATACATTTAGTTTCTAAGCTAAACTTTATTTGTATGCTTCAAGCTTGGAAATATTCTCTGGTTGACCAAAGCGAGTGAAATATATGATGGGATTCCTACTTGGAATCTAATAGTAACACATTAGGTGCTGAAATCCCCAAGACACTGAAACTATTATTTATGAACGATTAGTACAAAAAGCATGTATAAACATACAACGACACTGTGATAAAATTATTTTGAGATGGTACTACTAAATTTTTTAAAATGGCAATTTGGGTCAGAAAAAAACAAAGAAATAAATTAATTGAAGTAGAAGTCTGATTATGGTAGTATTGATGGAGTTTACAAAAGAACTGATTAAAAGCGAGCAAGTATTTTGTATGCGGATTATGATAAACAATATATGAGTTATAGACAGCTCAGCAGCTAACATACACACACGCAAAGAGAGAGAGTAGGAGAAACATTCACATTTCAATTATACTATGAAATAATTAGCATCAATAAGATAAAACTTATTTTTCTTCAGATGAGCACAGAAAAAGGACTGATTCATTGATACATTTACTAGTACACAGAAAGATACATTGTTTGCTATTGCTAATACAACTACTAATATACTATTGTTATCCTTTAATACTCTTAAGTATTTATAGTCAATTATGTAATTTATAATTGCATGCAACTAAAATACTGTTAAATATTTAATCATTTCATGAATGAGTTGAATTTTTGTTTGTCAATTTTAAACCTCGGAAATAAATCTCACCATCAATGAGAATTAACACATATTTTTGCATGGATGGAAATAATCAGCTTGTTATTTATGTTTGTCAACCAAAAAGCCAACTCAGACAGAAATTAGATCCGAACATTCATTATAGATAACTGAAGTTTGAAGTGTACATATATATTTGAAATACACGGTTATTGCAAAAACACACCAGCCTCATGCATGAACATGTGAACTCTCAGTCTCATAATTTTGAAATAAAAACTAACCGGAAAGACTTTGTACACTTGATGGATCAGTGCGTCGTTGAATACCCTTATTTAAGGAAGGAAGGCCTTTAGAAGCTGAGGTATCTAGTGGTGTGATCATACTTTGAGGAACATTGGTGTTAAGTGTTTGAGTAGTAGTATTAGCCGATAGACCAGCTGGACGTCTGTTACCAGAATAACCGGTAGAAGAGGAAGATGTTGAAGATGCAGAAGAACGAGATGAACTAGACGAGGAAGAGTTGTTTACTTTCTGCTGTTGTATCTTTTGATTTGATGTAGCATTCATAGTAGTAACATGTGTCTGATTAGGAATAACAGAACGTGTATGAGGAGCCATGGTAGTGGTATTTACCGGATACATGGCAGAATCCACACCCATTTGACTAAAAATAATAGATGAAACAGAACTACTGAGGAGGTATACAACTAAACAAAGGCAAGTAAAATGAAAAACATATCTCCAAACATAAAAATTGAACAACTAAGACGTAGGCTAATGTTTGAAGAAAAAAACAGGAAAAAACATTAAAAAATATACGAATCCATTAAATACTTGGACTTCAATTCAAGTTATTTATAGAAGATTTAAAAAAATATGGATATTAAGAGATACACAAAGTAAACTGGCAACAGATTCCCATAACTAAATCGCAACATTTTAATCTCGAAGATGTCTAGGAATAAAAATGTATGAGACATCTCAAATAAAAAGAATCAAACACTTTAACTTGACAATATAATCTGGTGTAAAAAAACAAATCACGGAACAAAAAGTCATTTTCAACTTACCTGTTATTTGACATTCTATTTCTAAGACCAGAAAGAGCAGATGAGTTTGGGTTAACAAAACTACAATCATTTCCATTCGCATCAACATTACAAGGACCAGATGAAGACACAGGAGCGGTTGATGGAATAGGATAAAGTACAGGTGGGTAGGGATAATGAGCGTTGGTTTGAGAAAGTGAATTCCCTTCACCAGGTATAGGAGATGACATTAAACCTAGATTAGGATTAGATGGAGCATTTTGATTTTGTACTGATGATAGACCTGTAGCTGAACCACCACCAGGAGCATCAGGAAGCACATGGTGGACGTGAGGATACATTTGAGGCATCATAGGATGAGTACCAGTATGAGATGAAGAATTAGCACCGATTTCAGAAACTGAATCTACTTCGTCTAAATTAAGATGAGACAACGCTGGAGAAAAAAGTGAAAAAATTAAATATTATTAAACTCAATTATTGAAAGATGTTTATAAATAAGAATATTCAAGCAGGCAAACAAACTTACTTGTGGCTATATCTCCAAAAGTATAGTAACATTGTTCGGAAAATGTACTCTTATTAACGGTATGACAAATATAACCATAATGCAGTAGGTTGGATGCATACCTCCGAGCATCTCGCCGATCTGCAAAACCATCTACATGTGTGAATAACCAATCAACTAATTCAGAGCCTATAAAGTAATGAAAACAGTAGGTAAATGAAAATGGTGAAAAAACTAAAAAAAGTTAGGTATTTGTAAACTAAGGATTTCTAACAACGAAGTTTTTTATTGGCTCGACCACATAACAAAAACTGAAAGAAATCACTGATAGTCAAACTTCAAGAATTATGGAAATTTCAACATGAAAACCGTTTATCGAAAACGAGTACCAATTATGCAAAGAAAAAAAACGAAAAGTGTTTGAGGCTTTATATTTTGGTATGATATAAAATGCCAAATTCACAGTAAAACAAGGTAGGATGTAACTAGAGAACTAAACGCAGTTTGTACCCACTCACCAATTTTTCGTAAAAAAAACAAGCACAGTAATCACAGAAACATCTTAAATTAGCATCAAATAACATTGTTTAGGTGATCAATTTAAGTGACACAGATTTTAAGAGATTGTTTACATTAAATGTGACTGGTGAAGATATATTTAGTCTATTAAACCAGTCAGTCAGTAATAATCAGAGAAAAACCAGGCACATATGTACGTTGATTCAAGTTAGTATATCATAACAGCATAGCGAAATGCAATCACGAAGATAAATATCAAATATTGGAAGTAGTAACAATATCAGTAATATTAAAAATACATTAGGGATAGACAATATGATTTAAGAAGAAAGAATTTATGGAATAGAAATTTGAAAATACTTTTAGGACTCAAGATCTAAGGGAAGACAAAGAGTGACCGCATCTTCCCCACAGCAACAGATAATGAGCCATTGTATCACTCAACATCATTAATCACTGATTATAATAATCGCGCGAATCCTAATCAAGTAGTCTGGACCAAACAACACATATTAGGTATCTTATTACATTATTAAGTTTCGTTTTATTTTATTATGTTATTTGTTGACTTTCTCTTTTATTTGTAACATAAAGAAACATGACAACATGAAAAGGCAAACCATTACTATGACTTCTGACTAAAGCTTTACAATGGTACCCCCAATTACTGAGTTAGGGAAATCAGTCAATATAAAAGCTCACATAAAAATAGTTTGTTTTTCTTAGGAATTAAAAAAGGAAAAAGTCGTATCAAATTAATCTAGTATGACAATCATTTTAGAAACAGTAACATAGTAAAAAGTTAATATGAATATATATTTATCAATCGACTAAGGTTTTCATAAAATGTAATAACAATATACAAAAAGAGTGAAGCACAAAACACAGCAGGTTATCATCAACAATGTCATCATTCAATTGGATCGTATAACAAAAATAAAGACAGATGTGACTGGAAAGTATAAACGTGAGAAAGTGCAGCAAAAAAAGGAGAAACTATATTTGGAAGATAATAATAATAATAATAACGACAAAAGATGATTGTCAATCAACCCGGTGTACTACAGCTAATACTGGTAACGATATAATAATAATATTAATGTCAATTTATTAACGTGTAAGAAAAACGAATGTAAAATAGGTAAGCTCATTAAACAACGTCATTAGTACTACACTGATCCTTGCAGTGAAATATAATGTACGATACATATATCTACAGAGATATCAAGTACGTTGAACTATACTGTTTAAAACATTTATAATATTAGGTTATAGAAGTTGAGAGAGAAATAAAAAGACTCGTTCATTTTAGTTACAAGTTGTCAAACGGTCAATTGAAAAGGAAACAAAATTCCATATTCAAAGAAATAAGAAAATACATGAAAAAGTATATAAACGTATTATGTAATATGATAATCATGTACGTTATTATTCATAATGGTGAAAATGTGAACATTGACTGGAAGCATTTATATTTTTGTTTTCAGCAATTTCAAATTTCGACAGGTAACGACAACTTTTTGAACTTATGTAGTAGATGATTCAAAATATTTTTGGACGAAAACAAAAAAACAGTTGCTCTTTGGATACAAATAAAACAACACAAGAGTTGTAAAGTAAAAAATAAACAATGCTAAAATAGAATGAAGCGTTAAGATATTATTATGATGTCAAAAGTAGTAAACGCTAACTTTCTTTTAAAAGAGTAAAGAAAAATGATGTGATACTGTATTAACTATGAAAATTGTAGTAATAATGAAGTGAAATTATTCAAAATATTATTTTTCTCAGAAAAAAGATATTGGATTAAATTTTAAAATAAAATTTCATCTTTATAAACAAGGAATTAGCTAATTTGAATTGGAGTCTATGATTTTTTTATAAAAAGTATTACCTAAAAATTAATGTTACCAATATAGGAAATAATTAATTGTAATAATTACTAGATAAAGGGGTATCATGTAAATGTGTTACGTTTCTTGATGGAGCTATGAATCTTTAATTAATGGAAGATAGTAAGCACTTGTGTGTTATACATTGTTACCGATTAAATCAGCGAGCTGTGTGAAACATTTGACAGTGGTTTTCTGTTCTCTATTTTTCCAAAGTACTCTTACACTTGAGCTCCAAATGATTGAGAGGTGGGAAGTATGAGAAGTTTGACTTCAGTTTAGTTTACATGCAGAAAACAAGGATATTTATAAATGTTTTTGAAATTCTGAAAACTTCTGGAAACCACTGAATTTAATTTTATAATAGATATTGATCTAGTAAGGGTGTGACACAATGTCGTTTATCTAAAGGTTTCTTATAAGGTCCCATTGAACGCTGATCGAATGATAAAGTTTTCAGACTATCCCTGGTTTCGAAAGACGTTTTCTACAGATTCTCGAGAACTTTCAACACTTTATTCACTGACGTAAGATTGTGTTAGAAGAACATCGAAAATGGTCAGATCAGGGGTAGTGTATACTGCTTGTCTAGGATTCCAGACATAGCAGAAGTTTATAATACTAAGCTTTGAACAACAACGCTGAAGGCTGACAGTAGTGGTGAAAATTAATTCATTCTTTGAACATCACATATTCGAGTATATTTAGATGTAACCTCTTATTTTTTTTTACTTTTTTCCTGCAGTTTGTATAACAATTTTAGAAATATTGTGGTGATAATCCAAACCCTTTTAACTTCAAAGAATACAGATTTTATAAGCTAGATTTTATTTTTGCTTCTTAAAGGTTAAGTGAAAATTAGTTTTTATATTACTACATCCCTGAAAGTATGTTTACTACTTAAAGATATCCTTTATGTATATATATATCAATAAACTTATGTTTTTTCTGAGTAACATTTTGACACTAAAGTTAAATTTTTATACAGAAGTTATATCGAGTTGAGCTTGTTTTCGTCACTTTATACACATTAATTAACTAGTGAAGTATGTAATTCATGATATTATAATATTTATGTCAAAAACGTGTTGGAGACTATGAAAAATGAACAAAAGTGAGTAAGATGACTGATAGCAAGTTTTTTAGAAACTTCACATTTAAGTTAATCTATAGCGAAAAAAACATATTAACCGTAGACTTAATAAACAATTAGGGTGATCAATAACTAATACATATCTGCAGAATTATTAATGAAAAGCTCCACATTAGAAATGTGAACGATTCGCCCAATGAATATATTGAAAAACGATTCTAAACCATTATTACTCTCCTTAAATTTATAATAATCAAGAATATCTACAAGCGAGACAATTTATATTTCTGGATGAAAAGCAAAAAAAGAGAAACAAAATATTAATACTGACTACATAAACACAATGATTGATTTTATCGAAAAAACGAAATACAGCAAATTAAAAATTCAAAAAAAAATACTTATTTTCGACTGGATATTATTAGTCTTTAATCAAATAGGGGTGAGAGGGCGTATACTTTCGTTTATTTGTTCTCTCTGTTTCCACTAGATTAGACAGATTAGTGCATTAGATAATAATAATAATAATATTATTATTATTATTATTATTATTATTATATATTTTTGGTCCTTAAAAGTAACGCTTTAGTAGACAAGTTTCAATCAATTCTGTATAACTGTCATATATATTGCTCTAATTCTGTTGTTACACCTTTAAGTCAGCTATATATATATATATATATATATATATATATATATATATATATATATATATATATATATATATATATATATATATATATATATATATACTTTTGTAGTAAACTGGCGAAGTAGATTATAAATAAGAGGGAGTTGGTGAAGGATTTGATTTAACAACTTTACGGAATAACTGATTATAAAAATTACTTATTTTTATTCATAAGTGTCAATGAAAATAATGTGAAAGAAAGCAACGTGAGTACTTTTAAAACAGGTATCAAACAACTTTATCTACACGTCTCTTATAAATCTTACTATTTCGGACACAAAACTTTTATATAAGTCACTAAATATTGGCTCAGCGTTTGTCCAGAGACCTTGGCCCGGGGAGTAGCTATGAGTATGCGCTATTAAGGAATCCCGTACTAGAAGCTGTCCGGTGCTCCTTGGCTTTTATTGCCACCCCAATTGAGATAAATCCGTGATGAATACTTAACAGTCAACTATGGAATTTCTAATTAGAACAAACAGTCCTAAGATTGGTTTGATGTATTAATGTAAAATAGGTTACGGCTTATGAGTCAAAAAAGATAGGGAGAAACGTACACCACTGAAGGTCCTATTTTCAAATTGTCTGGTTATTTCCTGCAAACAAACATCCATGCGAGATGCGATTAAAAGTTTAGATTAACCATTCATGCATACAGTTTTATTTTTACTGAAATATATTACCTCAGGTTAGGGGTCATAAAAAATAGAAAAACAAGTGATTTTGAATACAAATGAAACCAAAAAATTTCCCAATATCCACAAACTTTGCAAGTGTTGATTAGTAGACAAATAAATCTATGTAATACAAGTGTACACAAGTCAAAAATAAGTGAATGAAACTCACCAATAAAAGCATTTGGGATAGTTATTTTCAGCCATGTTCGATCACGTATTTCTAGACCAGAATCAGACATCAACATATCATGAACTACAGAAGCCATATCAGAAGCTACAGTTAATGAAGTGGATGATTTGCCATTCGCACCAGACAGAAGTGACTGAGTACCTTTAGCATCGACAGTTGTCTCACCTCCTGATCGAGAACCGTTAGTTTTCGTACTTCCTGGCCCACCAACAACACCACTACTTGCTGGACCTCTACTGCGATGATACCCACCAGTTAAACCATCACCGTCAGCAACTTCTGGTAATGATTTAGTAGTCATATTAGATGAAGGTATTGCATTGATTCCACCCATTGAAGGTGGTAAAATTAAAGGAGGCATGCCAGGAGGCATAGATGGTACGGACAATCCAGAGGATGGAGTCATACCCATAAAATGGCCTAAAAGGTAAATGAATAGATTAAAACATGAGAATTCGAACATAAACATCTACCATAGAAATATAGACCAATAATTAGTAAACTGAGGAAGGAGATGGTGGTTTGCAGCTCAGCAGAGGAATTTTAGTGATGCCGTGTTTGGTTGATCGTGAGGCTTCCAATATCTTTTTAAGCAACAGCTATTAAATTTCCCAGACCAGTAGCTAATAATTTGATTTGTCGATATGGAATATATAGTGTCGTCGCCAGTAATCATTTCATTAGAGTGATAGCATAAATTATGATTTTTTTAAATTGAGTACATGAACCGATCAACGTTGGACCACCACGGAAAGCACTGGACGGATGTTTCGACCCAGTATGGGACTCCTCAGTAGTGCGCATCCGCGATCCCGCACGCGGGATTTGAACCAAGGACCTTTGGTCTTGCGCGCAAACGCCCAACCTCTAGACCACTGAGCCAATATCTAACGGTGTTTATGTTTAACTCCAACCAATCCACGAAATTGTGAGACCATCTTCCATTCTCTGAGGAAGATACTAATCTCTACTTGACTTTTTTATCCACGATTTTGAGGTTAGTCACCAACTCTCTCACTAGTTGAGTTTCTGGTCCGATTGTTGAAGATACTATATGCATAGATTCAACATATGAGAACAAAATCCAACCATAATTTCGTATATCTATTTAAGGTGATTTTTATTCAGTCAATTTCAACTCATTTCTGTAATTTTGATACATTGAGTTTCAGTGCAATATCAGTTTTATTTAGTTGTTTGACAACCAATGAATTTTCCTTGTACTGATTTTTTACTACGATTTTTTTAATGAGTAACAATTACTCAGTTAATAAAACTCTCCAATTGATAATCATCGGAAAGATGTATAGCTCAATTAGCTTGGATGTAGATTCAATCTTCTTTGACATTATCCGACAAATCTTTCTAACAAGAATGGTCTTTTGAAGTAGAGCTATTGTATATGGTAATTGCAGTTATCACCGTATAGCTTCTATCCGTATCCCTAACTAAAAAAATTCATCGCCTTCAGAGTGACTTGATAAAAGATTAGATCGCACAAAGTCAAAAGAACGGGATTTTCCTTTTTGTGTATCAAATCTAAACCGATTCGTGAAAACACAAAATAATGACTGAAACAAAATACTGCTAATGCAAGACAAAGTAAGGGAACATTTCTCACCAGGAATCATTGCCATTCCAGCAGCAGGTGATCCGGAACCAAAAAAAGGTGTATTTCCATCAAATCCGGGTGTTCCAAGTGCTCCAGTCATCGCATTTGTATGTAAGACCCAAGCCCGAGGATCAATGGGGCGAACTGGTTCTTGACGAGGAATTGTGAAGTAGTTCTTTGGACTGGGATCCCAACATTTTGCCACCACTAAAGTGATAGGACTGTGAAGTAAAAATTAAAGTAATATATTTTAATTTGTTTAGTTGTAAACAGGAAATACTTAAGGATTTTATTCACATAAATAGATCAGATTTCTGAAAACACCGCCAGAAGGTAGCTAAAAAAGAATACTAAAGTTATGTGTAAGATGGAAATAGATTAAAATTGTTTGACAAAGTGTAGAAGCATATGAATACATGGGGAAACTGTACTTCAGGTGATTGTTTTTGGTAGTGTGAAGCTCTCCGAGCAAACTTTTTTAATTGTAGAGCTTTCAGTGTTGTTCTAGACAGCCTATTAAGCGCTCAGAGAACTCAAAACTACTAAAATCACAAGAATTTAACACACTTCAATAGCTCATAATCAGTTTCCAAAGTTTATTGTGTAACACTTTTTAAAAAAATTTAGGAGTGCTAGATTCTTCAGTAAAATATATGATCCTTATTTATTCATTTCTTACTCAGGTACGAAAAACGTTGCTCAAGGAAAGCTTATAAATATTTACTATAGTAAAATGCAGGTAGGAGAATTTTGGGGCTTTAAAAAACGAAACATTTTGCATTCTGTAGATGCGTTTACATATAAAAATCTAAAGAAAAGATGTTTAATATTTTAATATTCGTTTAACATTATTATAGTAAATGAATACCCTGAGATTAAGTAGTTTTTCTATATTCGAAATAACGAGTAATTTTGTTCATTAGTTTTACGTAGCGTAGCAGATATTCAACAGGTTTGAAACAATAACATCCAATAAACATAGCGGAAACCTGATCGTAATAGATCAACTTTAGAATCGACAAATGAGATTTAAAAATAAATAACAGTGTGAAATGACTCTAAGCTTAATATTTTGAGAATAAAACATGACTGAAAATGGCGGACCGTAACCGGTTTTGGGGTATAATGACCTAAGGTTCCCAACCACAGGTTACGACAATTCTGTGAATTGCAAGCATATATTTTGTCTCCCTCTCCCACATAGCCTGGATCGGTGGTCGCAGACCTAGTGAGTCGATGTTATGTTATTTTCTCTTGACTACTTTCTTCCAAGCTATAAATATCTACAACACCTTGTAAACAACCCAGTCGGTACAGGCTTACAACCTTACCAACTGACTTGTCATTTTGGATAAATTTTACAAGTAAATACAATTCTTAATGGAAGGATGACCCCGATATAGAAAAAAAGGAATGGAATATATACAAATAAACAGTATGTTCATACAATCTAGAGATGACTAAGCTCTGTCTTTTTAAATTAGCTTTAAGATTATATACTACATTATTTTTCTTTCATTAAACACTGAATATTTCCACTTTCATCTATGAATTAATTAGTCTCAGCGGAATTCTGCTATAGAGTAAATACTTATGTATTCAGCCTTAACGTATTGAGAGGCTTCCTTATAACTTACCAGGCTACCTAAAATAAAGCAGAAATGAAGATTAGGATCCGTGACTTATAGGATAAAAGTGAATTGACTAAACTATTGTACCTGTGAAGTATATACATGTGGTGCAAACTATAAATTCACAGTTTCGTGTAAACGGATAAAACCTAAATAAGAATTAATCTTACGACTGATTTTATTACGTAGTAACTAATAATAACGACAAACAAAAAAGTAAACTTATCATTGTTATTTGAAGGAAAGAAATTAATATTTACGTAATTGTGTTGTATGCCTCATCACTGATTACCACGACGCGCAATGCTTACTAGTGTTGGAAGAAAGTTAAGGGCGGCCAAACCAAAACGTGGCATCAGTGCTTGAAGTCACTAACTTCTGGTCTGAGCCATGTTGGTAGATACAAACTACTTGGCTGGGGTCCGCGTGAATATCGTATCTAATGGTTGGAGATTCTTGGTGACATGGCTCAGAATCGATCACAATAGAGTATGTGTATACACTCTTTGTATTCCCTTACATCGTGATTAAAATTACTACATACCTTTCTTTCTACAAACTAATTATTTCTTCCTGTATATATATCCTTATATGAAATCTTTGTTATATATATTACTACCATTGAAGTAACTACTGTGAATTTGGTGTTCATCTTGTTGTGCTAATGAGGTGTGGCAACTTGGACCGATGCATATATGTCTGGTCCTACGTTGTAGCTGACTGGCTGACTAAACCTTGTTGTTAAAAGGGACTTTTATTTGAACTACAGTAACTATTAATATATAGGTTTTGTGGAAATATTAAAATTTTCATAGTTCACAACACTATGAACTGATTTTATTCGGGCAATCATTTTCAAACCAGTAACATTATAAAATATATTTGATTGCTAAAATTAATAGTTTAAGTAACTGATTAATATCAGTAACTTAACTACTCAATTATTCAAATGTCATTGATAAAATTAAAGGTCTGAACATAAAAAGTATCGACTTAAAAAATGTTTTTTATTTTTATGTTATACGTAACTTGAGATGAAGAATATATACGGGAAAAATGTATAGAATAAATTCGTCTGTGTTTTTTACTGTAAAAAACTGGATTTTTGTCAACGGCTTGATTTCTCAAGCACTTGACAAATAAAAACACAATAGTACCGGGATAATGGTATAATTTATACTAAATGGTATGTAGTTGACTTTTTCAGAATGGAAGACACACCAAGATCATGGTTGGTAAGTGTCCCTGTTAGGTGCTAATTTAATCCATGATTAACCATCGAATTCGATGGCTTAGTGATTTATGAATTATTTGGAATTCAATCGCTGAGTGGCAGCTTCGAGTCCCCCCTACATATTCCCATTTAATCAACTGAGTAATATCGTGTGTGCTACTTATGTCTAAATAAGTAGTACATAACGCTAGTCAGGAATACAATGTCTGGCAGCATAAGGTTAAGAATATCGAGGAGGGAAGACTGGGAACAGAAAGCGATTGGTATGGAAATACAGGAACAATGAAGTCTGAGACAATTAATGAACATTCTGCAAATAAATTATTGGAGTTTAGTTTTTCTATTTTATCAAGTTGCTCTGTAATTTTGTGCTAAATATAAACGGTTGTCCTCACTTGTGTTCTCCTTCACCATAATATTACTAGATATCGCACAAAAGCAAATATAAGATCCTTGATTATTGAATTACAAGAAAGAATTTCATTAGAGTTATTTTTCCGATCACAAAACGTTAAGGATTTAAGATTTATTATTATTTATAATTAAACTGGCAAATCATATATTGGTTTGAACGCCCACCATTCTTGTGGCCTATCCTGATTTAACTATGGATCAATGGAAACTGTGCTCTTCTTCTAAATATGACTGTTACTCATGATCACTTATTAGTGTGCACTTTATTGTTCATTGATTTAAATTATTCTCTTTTTGATGAAACTATATTTCACATTTCTATAGTAATTAAAGTTAAATTTTAGAAAAAGCTAATGTATTAATGAGAACATTTTACGTGTTTTAACTAGTTAGGCTCAAACTATGATTCAATAGTATTAACAGTAACGTGTTTGAAAAAGATATATATAGTCGAAGTAAATTACACAGTAGGTACAGAATAAATACAGTGTCTGAAAGAATAGAAGAAAACCTTGTATGCAAACGTAAACTGATCACCATTATTTGTGCATGAGCGGCTAGGTGAAGCTAAACAACAACAAGCGGTTAATCACCAAATATCAGTTTATGATGCAAAAAACTTCAACTCCTACAAGAAAACTGTGATGGTCATTCATTGTTGTGGTATTTGTCTTATTATGATTCGCTTGATGTTTACTTTTAAACGTTTGGTGAGAAAATAAGTATAAATAATAGATAACTGGACAAATAGTAAATATGCCGTGAATTACCCAGGTTTTTGAACTTCCTCACGTAAAACTCTTACAGCCTCATCATTACTCATATCTTCGAAGCTGATTCTATTTACTTCTAGTATCATATCTCCAGGTTCTATTCGACCATCTTGTGCAACAGCTCCACCACGCATAATAGATCCTACATAGATACCACCATCTCCTGCTTTGTTGGACTGACCAACAATACTGATTCCAAGAAAATTCACTGAATCCATATTCAAAGTGACGGTAATTATATTGAGAGACATTGTGGAATCGGTTACACTGCTAAAAGAAGTAGCCTAAATTGAATGAAAAGAAAAAAAATAATGTAACCGAGCTTCGTGAAATTGATCCTCATAATATCTAGGGAAAAAATCGATAATAGATGGGAATTAAATCAAACTAATTATAAACACATAATAAATAAACATGTTGAACATCATTCTCAGCTTATGATGGACATGATCGACTGAAATTAACCCTTGGCATGTGAGTAATATGAGTATACAGGATAATCACTAAAATGTTGTACAACTACATGTAACGAACAAGTAACAGAAAAAAATCTTAAAATATTCCCTAAACAAGATAGAGAAACTAAAGCATTGAAATATATATATATGAATGAGTGCACAAATATCTCTTGATTTGGTTAAGCCAGTAGAGTTTTCTTCCCATTCAAACAACCACTTGGAGTTGTGTATTGGAAGCTTATATCTGAGTATCCGGATCAGATAACGCAAAAAACAACACCCGTAACCGCATGTAGTTTTCCTTTCTGAATTTTCTAACCTGACCAACGTAATCCATAAACACTTCTGAATTATCATTTCATCTTTTTTACAGCTGTGTATCATTTTACTGAATTATTCTAAAAAATCGATATTTCAAATAGTGTATACCCGATGAAAATTAAGAAAATAGAAAACCGAATTTAATTTACTCAGCGAATCTAGCTATTCTCTTTCCAGTAGAAAAAAAACACAGATAGGTGTGACCGAATATTTTGACTCTCCGGTTCTCTATTTAAAACAGTTGACATCACGATAGGATAAAATTCTATCCATAAATCAGCATAGCAAAAAACGTCTAGACAGCTTCCCCAAAGGAAAAAAAAATGTAGAACTAGACGTAAATGATGCAAATCTGGTAAGATTGATCACCCGGAAGCTGGATATATTACGTGATAGAGCAGAAATAAATAATGAAAATGTATAGGCTGCAAACATTTTTTCAATATGTCATTTCTAGGCTGATACATTCTTAGTTGTTTGAATACTTACAATAATATGTTTATTATGCATAAAAATGTCAGCAATTCTAAAGTAATGATCGATCATACTATGACAACTACTACTCATACCATATGGATATGGGGAAAAGCAATAAATAGCTATGCAAAAACTACGACAACTCAAATAAATTTTAAGTCCCATAGTTCTTACTAAGTCTTCTGGGAGATTACTCATCGAAATAAAAAGATAAGACATTTATAGACATAAGACATTCAAATTATAGTTTATATTCTAATACTAGACATTTAACGGTTCATGCCATTTTAGTGCAAGTAACAAATATGGTATTTGTTACCTACAAGCTTCAATCGATTGCACTTTTACAAATGAGTCATTATTTACGGAAAAGTATCCAGTCTTACCTGACTTTGATTTTCGTACAACCGAATAGACTGCTTACAAAAGTATCCATCACATAATTTTTAAAGCGAAAAATGAGCGACATGTAAACTATTTCTGAGGGTATTTAACACAAACCGTTACTTGAATAGCTTAAAGTACAAAACACTCAATGTTTTTTTGTTAAATCCTCAATTATTTCATCCCAAGTAGAATTATCATCAGTAAACAGTTGGCAACTAACAAGAAATAATTGAATTCACGAGTTAATCTAAGCTAGACCACCAATGGAAACCTGGAAGCACTGGAAGTCCCTTTCAACCTAGTATAAGACTCTTCAGCAGTGCACATCCACGATCCCGCACGCGGATTTCGAACCCAAGATCTTCGATCATCCAGTGCTTCCAGATTTTTAATAGTGGTCTGGCCCAGATCGACTTGTAAATTCAACCGTTAAAACACCACAATCTCCACAAATTCCCATACTAAGAACAAGAAATATACATCGAGAACTTTTAAAAGTATATTTTTAAAAATATTTCCAGATTCAGCATATAAGAGTTCTATCGAAATGATTAAAAATCGTGCACTGTCATTTAAAAAATCAAAAAAAGGCAACTCTATTCGTTCACTTGATACTCATTAGCCTAGTGTGTATGTGCGAAGACCCAGTCAATTATACGCGACTGTGAAGTTGATATTTCCGTTGCCATTGTGTTCATTATTAGAGGTCACAACTTTTAGCGTAAAATAATTATTCAGCAATTCATTTATTTAATTTTTAAAAAATAAAAACATCATTTTGTAATTCTATAGGAAGCAAGCCGAAACAAGACGCCAAATTAAAGACTGAGATTGATAGAGGAGTATATGCATAAAACTCGTTCATGTGGACACACAACAGCTACAGTACAGTTGAACAGAGACTGTAGAGGTTTTTTCATTTCAAGCAGTAGCTATTTTACATTATTATTGGTTATATTTTAAAGTTTGAAAGGATACAGTCTTATTCGGATAAAGATAAATGGTGATATATAGTAAAAATGTATGTAGAAGATTGAAGAAACTTGATTTTTAACTAGTATACTTGAGGGAAAATTATTTATTGGGTCATTTTTTGGAAACCCAAGAAATATAATAGGAGTGACACTCGCGCTAAACATAAATCCTAACGTGAGTTAAATCGGAAGATAAACTTCATGACTTAGATATATGTTAAATGGTATATTAGTTATTCATAAGAGTGGTTAGCTTGAGTTGAGTTGTAACACCTTCGTTTTAAATTTACTGCACACAATCACTGTTTTTTTTTAAATTTCATCTTTCATTATAATTTCTATTTACCAATAGTAATGATTTAATGTACATGAAATATACCTTAATTGAAATCACTTTAGTCAAGATATAAGAGAAAAACGCTTTTAGTACGTTAAAACCTTTCAAATCTGTCTGTATTGTATATACATTTATATATAACTGGAACACTGTAAGATTATTGATCAAAAATAGAAAATGTCAGAATGCAAATGAATGACATATTTACATATTATTGAAATGTCAGTAGTAGACGATGGATCTACATAAAAATAGGTTTCGATAATAGGAAAAAAAAACAAATTCTATGACATTTTTTTTAAAAAATTTCTGATCAGTGAAAAATAAAACTGTAGAATACAGCAGAGATACAAGAGAAAAATGTATGTAGAAATGAGATAAATATTTTTGGAATGACAGAGATGACAGCCAATCTATAAACATACATTCATTCATCAGATAGAAATAAAAAAAAATTGAATATGATAATGATGGTAAACAATTTTCTGCATATGTATTGCATGGCAAATTAATTAACTATCAATTAACATTAGAAGACTTTATGGTATCAATACCACTCTGTTATTGATTGATTTTGTTATACAATGAAATGTGAAAATGTAAAGGGTTTGAAAGAGGATGATTACGATTATTGTCACTGACATACAGATACTGTAGATAGTTTTAAGATATTAATCACATGAATCAACAGATTGTCAAAATCAATTTAAGCTCATTATTTACCTGGATTTTTTAGTAATATAGAGATACTTATATCAGCCTCATTTGCGATAATTCCAATTTTTATTTTTGTATTTACATACTAATAGTTAATGTACTTGAGTTTCATTCGATGAATATTTTAAAGTAAGCTTCAATTAAGTGGTGTATACGGTTGTAAAAGAGAATAAACTAGACCAATAAACAAAGAGTAGTTTTCAATGATACAATTATTAAACACTTTGTTTACCTTAAAAAGGTACTACTTATTGAATGGCGTGAGTAAAAAGTACCTTAGGTTAATCAAAAAAATCTAACAATAATTTAATGAAGTGTTTTTCAGGTTATAAAGACTAATACGTTCGGTGTAAAGGTAAAACTGAAGTGGGGAAATTGTTATTTTGTTTCTACGCAGTTCAAATATAAACTTGCGATGATTAAACTATGGAACTTACATCTTCACTGGTACGTCTTATTGGAAGAATTCGCCTGTGTCTTCGTTGTCTTCTATGTCTTGGATATTTAGCCGAAGACATAGTTGTACCTGTTGCTGTTGAAAATCTACACAGAAAAATTAAAAAAAGTAAAGACGAAAACTTAAAATATGACAAAACTGACACTGATAAATCACTAAACAATACAAGTATTGCGCTAAAATTACTAAATAAATTCGGAAACACTTTTAAATAACACTTCTCATAAGCCATTAATTTTAAATTGAAAAATTAATGAAGAATATTTGTAGCTTATAATATTAGTATCTTGATAATACCAATTTTAGAATTAATATTATTAAGGGTGGAAATTTCAATGATTTACATTATAATCATATTCAAACTATCAAACCTACATCAAAGGATTAGTAAGATCACTGGTGTTGAGAGGAGGCAGGTAAGAAAAGAACAACCACTTTGAACAAAACAGGAAACGACGAAAAAGGACAAGAAATAATGAATTATGAACTTATTGGTGAATTAGGCAGAAATCTAGCTAAACGTCAAAATAGTCAGATTTAAACTGAATCGAGGAAATTGAAAGTTAGTTAAAACAAAAATTGGTGTATTGAAGAAAAGTGGGATAAATCTAACAAAGCATCACGGTCAAATATTGAATGGGAAACATATTTTGCCGTGTCAAATAATAGCATAGACGGAGATGTTACAAATCAACTTATCGAAAGAATCGTGTGCAACTGTCAAGATACACAGTTGTTGATAATAATCGATACAGTCAATGAAAAGATTTTGCTTTGGTAACAGAATATTTCAAATAAACGGTGATAGTAAAAATATACCATGTAATGTAGCTGCCTTTTTGAACATTATGAGATTCATAATATAGCCAAAGAAAAAACGGGTAGGCTGAACGACAATCATGATGCTCAGAAACATACGAAATTTAAGAGAACTAAGCAATTTTTGATTAGAAGTATAAAACAACGAAAATCAAGGTCAAACAAACCAACAAATAGGAAGGATCTCAATTGCACAAACCTGTACCCAGTAATGAAGGAAGATTTCACACATATTTACAAAAACTAGATAGAATCCAAACAACCGGAAAAATCAAAGAATGATAAACGACAACAATCTTCATCTTGAGTTAAGAACTTTCACTACATTAAATATATCTTCCGAAAGTGACTGCTAATATGTATAATAATAAGATTAGCCAGGAGTTTGATGTCTGTTCAGGAGCCTATGCCGAAGTAATTTCCCAGAAAGTGTTTTCCAACCGTAACGCAAAGGTGTATTTAGTGCTTAGCCGGAAATCTAGTGAAGTTGTTTCTATTTGTAAAAAAACTTAACCCCTTTTAAATTAAGCTGGCATACCTGCTTGATTCGTCTTCTGAATCGAAAAAGCTTGTAGATTCCAGATCTGAACTCATCATGGATGAAGATGTTTCGTAGTTTTGGATTCTTTGACCAAGTTTAGCCAAGCGCGAACCTAAGAAGAAACGAAGTTTTTAGAAATAAAGCATTGTCTCAAGGATACCAAATATCACAGCAAATTTATAACGCTTTTGATTTTATGAATGTGTATATAACTGGAATGAGATTACGCTCAACAATGATACATTTATACAGACTATCGGACGTACTATATCAAAATTACAACAGTTGTGTGACCGATAAGAAACCTGAGACCTTTTTTGAAGTCGCCTAATAATATTTCGACAACTAAAATAATTCTTTAAAAAAACGTATGTGCTTACTATTTACAGCCAATGATATGAATGGATGTGCAACTTACCATGTGACCACATGTCCATATCTTAGAATTTGGGGAATCCTATGAGGGCTATATAGGCTATGTAGTTAACTGACCTAAAGACAAAATGACATTAAAACATGAGGCACAATTTCTAACAGTTCTATTCACACAAATAAGTTATATCCTTATTTAGACTTAGCGTAAGCCAATATCCATGATCCTAGGCATTTTAATGAGCTGCATCAATTTAAGAGAAAATCTGAAGTTTGGCCAACTGAACTAGTTTTAGTGATCAGTAGGCAAAAACTGGAGTGATGATTCTTATTATTTTGAGATATAAACTTAGTGGCTTACCACTGACTGTTTCCTGTGGGACAAAAAGAGAATTAAGAAATACTTATATTACAACCTGGGCTAAAATTTTATCGCTTACCATGCTTGTAATTATGAAAATTTTTCAAAGGAGGAACCCGATCTATTAAAAATAAAAGTAAGCTTAAGACAGGTTTAAACATATTTACAGGAAATTATTTTTAAAAATTTAATGAACACTTAAGCTTATTGGTAAATTAGATTACAAAACCAACCAGTTCTACATATTATGAAATATTGAGAACTACCCCCATTAAACATGTAGTAAATTATTAGAAGTCAAGTTTACATAAGAAAGCATGGTTGATTTCAATTTTTATTGTATTTGGAGTTCAAACCGAAGTTCGTACTTCTACTTACTAGATAACAGAAATAAATTATGTACTTTTGATAAAATATCACAAGATGTATTTCAGGGAAAACGAAATAAATTTCGGTGTGTCGACGGTTCCACATCAGTCCATGTATCACACAACGCCTTATCCTGGAAGATACATTTGCAATGCATACTGAAATGTACATTTTTCCTTTAGGGTCAACACCATTTTGACTAGGGCCCGACCGAAAACAGAGGAATAAAGATAAGAAACCTAGCTGAATGGTTTTTGATGTGATACACCTGACCAATAAATTAAGTGATACCAATTTAACGAAAGTTTAGTTGCTAGAACTAGTGCAAATAAATATTACAGATGAACTGTCAACAAAATTATAATTAAACAAAACTGGAAATTCTACGTCACTAACCACCGCTATACACTGAGTCTGTCTCGACACAAGTATCACATTCCTCAAGACCATGCCCTGTTGTCCCAATGGCATGTTCTTGTTCACTGGGGATTTCATTTTTCGAGGCACTGTGTATGTTGTCGGGAGTTTTGTTGAAGCTGAAATGGAATAATTTCTTTATTATAAGAGACGACATAATGCAAAACATACATGCATTGAAATACTAAACACTTGTATTACCACAGGTCAATGTAGTAAAACAGCAAAAAATAACTAATATTCAAATAGGTCCGTCAGGTAGTCTAGAATGGAATGCGTTAATGATTTTCTTTTGATCAGCTCACGGTTTACCACTTAGAATATTATGTAGAAAATAGATTAAGGCACGGTTCAAGCCACAAAACAGTAAGTAGAGGAAAATAAAACAATATTAGGACTTGTTAAAAGTCAGTATACACCTTACAGCGACGACTGTAACATGTGTGAGGTAGGAAAGCTATCATTATATTTTCCGGATACCAACTTTAAAAACTTTGTGCACGTGTTTGGTGTGTGACCCAATGAACTACTTACTACTCAAACATAAGTGGAAAATATGTTATTTTTTCATATTAAAGAGCAAATGCTACGGGAGTTCTTATAAATTTAATAAAAGCACTTTATTTTCGTCAGTAAAACGTAGTGCTCCCAAGTTTCGGTTTTACAATTTTCGTGAGAATAATTAGCCAACCTGTGTCAAACATAATGATCGCTATCAAAGCAACATTAATTGTGGCATAAATCTATTCCCAGAAAGTTTGTATATATATATATATATATATATATATATATATATATATATATATATATATATATATAGCATAGCATAGACAAGTCAATACTTCGAGGATTCGTTCTCACCAAAGATAAACATAACAGTTGAATTGTTAGGCTTTGTTGATGGCAAGCTAATTTTTTGTGCAGCTAATAGGCATATCACAGTGCTGGCAATGCTTATGCTTCGCATAAAATGCTCTGACACCAAACTTCCGTACATCGAAAGGGTGATATATTTGATGCAACCAAAACCAGTACGTAACTACTCCATTATTTAATTATGTCTGTTAAATCGAACTACTAAAAGATTCGTTTGATTACTCAATCAATATTATATTAAAGCCAACCAGTTTACTATTAACATAGCATTGCATCAAGCGTCTTGCAACATCTTGCTGCTAATATATTCTCAAGGCAAACAGAAACACATAATACGGTTTAACACAAAACATTCGACCCTCGAGCTTTTTCTTTGGCAATTTGCAAAGGACCTTCAAAGTGAAATGAAGCTAGAACCAGGAGTGTAAATCTACGAAACTTCGTTTCTTTAATTAAAGGAAGTGAACTCCAATAAGTAAATATCACCTGCTGCTAACAACAAACATCTCTATTTCCTGATTTTGGGGAAATCTTGGGGAAGTTGTGGTACGAGATTTTGAAAGAATGCGACAAAAACCTCGAAATTTTGAAATGATTGTTAAAATCTGCAAAACTTTTGTGGACAATCAGGGTTTTCTTCAATGCTTCACCAGACTTTCTGGAAAACTACGGATTTTCAAACGACTTTGAGAAAGACAAGAATTCCCTGAAACCCAGAGGTTTGCATGTAGTTTGTTGTTTTACTTAACTTTGAACAGAACTCACTTTGTAGAATTTTTGTTTTGACTGGAAAGGTGGTTTTCACCTGCGCCGTTTGAATGGTTATCTGATTTTGTACTACTATCTGCAGAAACAAGCTGACAAACATGAAAATATATGACTGTGAATACCCATGAAATAACTTTTCCATTGAAACATGGTAGCCTTGCATCATCATCCGCTATTTCTTCTTTCACGACTCTTTATAAGAAACATAACTATTAGTCTTTACAAGGAACGCACCCAAAATCAGCATCAACTGATTTGAAGAAAAACTTGTAATTCGGTCGGTTTAAAGCGTTTTTAAAGTCCCCTAAGGTAACGGCGCTCGGACATACAGCAAGTTTAACCAAATAGGGGGTCTCTTCGTCATCTATGTGATATATAATCTTTGTATCATCCATTTGGAGCAGCTCTTATAGAGACGCATTCATAATAGGACCAGCAATGAATTTTCCCTGTTGGTTGGTTTAAACAACAAAAATGAAAGAAACTATTTCACACTGGCAATTTAAAAACATGGGTTCAGAGATTCATTTATTTTTTCTGTATGCTTTTTATGAGCCTCCTGAATGACTTACTATAATTGTGTACATTGTTTCAACTAAGAGTAGAATATTATTGAATATTAGAGCTAGAAGTCTGTATTTTACGTGGATACTTGCGGTATTTGTTTTAAATTATGAATGATTAATCATTACTCAACCAATTCTATTTGCAATACAATAAAATAACATTTGTCCACAGACCTTTAACTGCCTCTGTTCATCAGTCTATTCGTTGACTGGACAATATGTTTCGTATATATATGGGAATTTCTAATACATATATTACATCACGTTTTTGGCCTGCCTATTGTACTTTTTAAGTTTTTCTAACATGTTTGTAAATATAGAGGAAAATCGTTGGTTGCAAGAAGTCTCGTTGATCTGTACAACACACCATCTTGTTTCTGCTTCTTTCTCGAAAAATTAGTGTAAAAATCTGAAAAAACTGAAATATAGCTTCTTCGGTGGGAGATGAGAACCAATTGACCACTTTTTAGTCATCGCCAATAAATAGTTTACCATACTGACATAGGGGGAAAAAGAGGAATGAACCAATAACAGTTCCTTACATAACCCACTGGTTAAATTCACAGGCTAAGAGTAGCAAGATCCAAAGCGGACGATTTGGCTATGTTCTGCCGAAAAAGACGTGAGCCAATATAATGGGGATTCCGTATGCCAAATGAAGAAAGTTTTTGAAGAATTTTGTGTGAGACCCTGTCGAAAGCTTTACTAAAATCGAAGTACAGAATTATCACTGACTGACTAACATCTCTATTCTGAGTAATTTGATCGAAAAATTCCAGGTGTGATGTCAAGCCTGAGAGTTTACTCATCAACCGGTGTTGGGATGGACTAATCAGACTAGCTGAAAGTAACAATTATAAAAGCTATTTGTGGATGATTTTTTTCATGGTTCTTGATAACACGGATGACAAATTAATTAGCCTATAGTAAACCTTGTCACTAAGTGATCCTGTTTTAACTCTAGGATGAATAAGAGGTGTTTTCCATGCAGTGGATAGGTCCAATATTCCATAAATAGGTTGAACCGTTTTAGACAATATAATGAAAATTCTATACTACCATATTTCACAAATAGTTAAGGAATCCCATCAATTGCACCTTCACAAGACTTTTCCAGGGCAGCTTTGGTCTACTTGATGTTGGTGGATGCGAAATCAATTTCGGATAGATGTATGGATGTCACCATTGGAAATGTATTGGTAGAGGTTTCAGTTCCAGTGTTGTAGCATTGCGAGAAATGCTGGCTGAATTGTTCACAAATAATATCAAGGTCGTCAACATTGCTTCCTTTAATTACAAAGAATTTAGTCACGCCAAGATATTTCGACTTCACAAGAGATCTAAAAAGTCAAAGTATTGATAATTCTGGGCTTTTACTACCTAGGGCTTTATTTTCTATATTCATAAAATACTTGCATTTAGATGAAGCATTTCTGTCGATTACGTTAATTATACTCTGAAGTGCATACACGTCATTATGCTCGTAGTAGCGGCGTTCCGATTTCCTCAGCTTTTTCTAAAGTTTTAAAAGTATTCTTGCCCATGTTAGCGTTATAAGCCACATGGCCAATAATTGGAGTAGTGCAGTCAAGGCAATATTTTACGTTGTGGTATAAATCGGAAAGCGCTGTGTTAATATTATTCGTGGTAAAACAAGATTCCAATGGTAAACATCGAATAAGAGTTCCAGTGGGTTCTCAGGTTTGTTGATCAAACTGTCTGCTCTGGTACATTATTGCGGCTTTAGGACTCAATTGTATAGTGTTTAGAGAATGAATAATACTCAATACAACACTTTGATCACTGATAAAAAACTTATGACTAATGTGCATTGATAGGGTATATGTTGATTGCAAATAATAATTCGTCGAGACTCTAATTTAAGGGCGAGTCAATCAGAAGCGTTTGAACAATTTCAAGGTCACGGAGCCAAGTTCAACATACGATGCTCACATACGATCGGTTTAAAGCGGATTTTAGAGAAGAGGTGATTATTGAGAGGCTACAAGAGATGAGACTACTAAGAAGTTCTTGTACCTGTGAATGCGGCTATCAAATAACTGCAGTGAAGTGTGCAGACTACCGTGATTATATTGTATTCCGTTGTTTTTCATGTTGGAGGAAAACGTCTTCTCGAACGGGGACTTTCTTGGCTCGATTGCGACTGAAACTGAGGCAGATCATGATAATAGTTGAAATTGGACAATAAAGAGACCGGTAACAGTGGCTGCGGAGTCTGCAGATGTTAATGAAACTTCAGCAGTCCAGTGGTATGAGTATTGCCGTGACATATGTGTAATTAAAATGACACGTCTACACTAATTATTCGAAGGAGTAAGATGTATTGTGGATATAGATGAAACAGTAGTGAGAAGGCGAAAATACAACAGCGGACGTAGTATCAAGGAAGATTGGGTAAGTAGCACTTCCGTAAATATACTTGACTGGTACTTGGAATTTATGATCCATCAACGCAAAAAGGGCATTTTCAGAGGGTCAGAAACTGGCAAACAAGCACAATAATACCAATTATAAAGGAACACGTGCAGCCGGGCACTACAGTACATACAGATGATTGGAGAGCTTGTAGATGCCTACATAGACCTGGGTATGTGCACCATGTCGTAGTGCATAAGCGCCATTTCGTCGACCCTACAAACGGCGTTCATAATAATAACATTGAAGCCATGTAGTCCAGACTGAGCGAATTTTTGAGATTTTTTCCACGGTTCTAGGGGACAACTACTATGCAGCCATATGGACGAGTTCCTATACCGTATGCAATATGGTTTCAAAACATCTGAACCTTTACCAAACCTTAACAAGTTTTTAAATCATGTAAAAGAAGAATATCCACTGTAATTCATTAGTGTTTTATAACAAGTTTCTACTTTTTACTGGCTGTCTTCTGATTGGCTAATAATTGTCAAGGTTATTTGAGATTCGTTCAAGGTTCATCCATAAATTGAAGTCTCGCCAGTAAATCATGTATAATATTCCTCTTAGTCGGTTTTCGGACTTGTTAGACACATTCACAAAGTTCTAGTGTTTCAGCGAACCTGTTATGTTGGCCTGGTACCGAAGTCGAACCCCAAGTAATGTTCGGTAGATTAAAATAACATCCAATGATTTTAAACGTATGCAGTTGGTGTGAATTGATATTAGTAATCTTTCAAAGTTAGTATCCACATGAGGTGGTCTGTATATGCATCCTACGAGTAGACAATTTTGCGATCCACAGTTTACAGTAACTCAAGTGGAGTTGTCTATAGCACCAAAAGATTTTCCTCAAATTTGCACCCCTTAATGTTTGAACGAACATAGATAATTGTACCGCTCCCTATTCCATGAAAACTATCAGTTAGAAAGAAAACGTTTTTATTTATATCCAAGTAGTGATCGAACATGGATGATATACATCACGTTTTCATAATAAATACAATGTTTGAATTTACAATAAATAAAAAGGTTTTAAGACGAGTAATTTTGTTGAACAGAGAGCAGACATTGAACGAAATAATATCATCATGGTGAAGCTGGTTAGAGTATAGATCACAATCGATAGTTCCTACATTACTTCTAGGATTGGTTAAAGTAAGTGTTTGTTGAGGAAGTAAATTCAACAACTTCGTCATCATTTGTAATGTATTTACCGTTGCCGGTAGAAAAGCTTGTGAAATTACAAAGAACTTTTCGTGCCTATAGGTAACCGTCGTGTTATTGATAGAAGCCAGACAAAAAGTGAAAAGGTCTTTATTTCGATCTTAGCGCAGTCACAGTGGAGCGTGGGATTATCTGTTCAGACAAACAAAGGTTTTCAACATTCAATATGAGATAATAAGGAATATAACGCTTATACAAAATAAGGAAGTGAATGAATACTTGAACAATACTGTTTTGGCATATGCTTGGTTGTTTGGGGTCAACTCTTAACCAACCAACCTATGCTGTTACAAACTCTTCTCGTTGTTATTGGATACAACGTCTGATAGAGGTAGAGTGTATACATTGGTAGTCGGACCAAGAAGACTATCAGGTCTGTCCGTGCAAACAAACGGCCATTTACAATTCAGGTTGCTTTTTATACCTGGTTTATAAGTAACATATTCCAGACGTTCATTTCCAAGGTTTGTGGTTTCTTTTGGCTCCTTCATAATTTGAGGAGAATCGAGTGTTGTTAAACATACATGCGATGGTTTGCAAGGTTCGTATATATTGACGTTAAGTGCGAGGTCAGTTATATAAATGTTATGACTAGGTTTTCCGTTATCCGTTGCACAGTTACTGTAACTGGGTGTTGCACTGACATGAAGTTGGACTGTGTTATCCCATTTGTCATCAGCACAACTATTAGCGCTAAATCTAATTCAGCATTCTTAAGAGGATGAACACTACTTACATCAGCATTACTTTCTTCTAAGTTTTGAACTTCAGGAGATTCAGGAGAGTTTATCAGTGGTAGCGTATTTGTAAAGTGAGATGTTCTCATAGAATAGAACCTAATTTTACGATTTCACTTTATAACAACTATAAACTTAATAAGTTGGGAAACATTCTGTGAACCAACAAATGTTGTAATTTATAGATCATGCCTGTAAAAACGGTGTGTACCTGCACATGCAGAAATATATATTATTATTATTATTATTATTATTATTAAACCGTTAGGATTATGATGAATTTGAGAGTTTCACTCTGGTGGTCCGTAAACAGATCTTCCTGTTTTTTGCTGGCATGGTGTTCTATCTGGAAGAATCCTAATATCCTCAAAAATCTGTTCTTGTCTCATTGAATTGGAGGAAGTTAGAAATGCATTGGCGCCCATAGACTAGTTAATTTGAACAAGATCGGTGAGTGCACAGCGGAGT